CTCTCTGTGAGGCAATTTAAGGTGGTTCTGACAAGTGTCGTCGGCATCTTCATATCCGGTCACATGGGCGGCAAGCCACTCCCACAAAGGAGGCCACACCCACAGAGTAGGTTCGAACAATTTTTGAAACCCACCACTGGTTTGTACCATCAGGTTTTGTTAAGTTTCTGGCGAAAAAACATCCATTGGATAAAAATGAGTTTGCTTAATGATCGTCAGGAAAGGTCATAAAATCAGATGCAGTCACATGGTGACTTGCTGAATGACAGCAACAATTTACAACCATAATTCCTCTCAATTAGGTCATAAGTCAAGGAGTATATGTAGGCCACTTTAAAAACCAAAACTGCTCTAAACTAAAACTGGAAAAATCAAAATTGCTCTAATCCAAAACCAACCTTGCTTGACTAATGCATTAAAAAAGTACACTTTGCCTCTTCTAGTTGCAATAGCTGTCACAATTGATCAAAAGTCAAGGCATGAGAAATATTGCCACTTAAACACATTTATTAAGCTGGAAGTCCAACTGTAATGTGCATTTGTAAGAAAGAAAACAAAATTTTAGATTGTTAATGAATAACATAATGAAACATTTTTCACGGAAAAGATAAAAGGAAATATTTCAAACTAACATTACAATGATTCCTGTAGACAAACGTTGAAGGGATGGTACTTAAACTGTTACTTTCCAAAACACTTTTTTTTTCCAGATTAAACATGGACATGAAATAAAAAAATAAAAAATGGCATATATTTTATTCCTGAAAAACCTCTTCTGCTTCCGCTAACTGTTGAAGGCAATAATACAGGCAATTGGAAATCTTAAGTGATAGATTCACTGCAGAAGTCATTATTTCATGACTGATATTAAGAAGTGCCTCGGAAAGACATGAGGTTCCTCTTAATCGCGAGACAAATATGCACAGATTTCACATATTCTGCACATAAAATTTGTATGTGTCCAGTTTTTTAGTTCCATTGTTATATAGATTAGGCATTTTCTCCTAATGCTTATTCTATGGAAATGGTCAGCAGCTGAGCATTTTTCAAAATTCACCGCTTATTTTTAATTTTAAAAAATCTACTTACCTTTACTAATTAGTCCTTGAGCAATCAGCATACTTCCAAGAGAAAGAGGAAGAGCTGTAAACAAACATTGCAATGAACAGTTTCAATCTGGGTCTTCATTCCCATGAGCCTCCACTCCCAGGGAAGCAGATGAAACTTCATAATATGGCTTTTTCTGAATTTGCTAATGATAGGTGCCCAGTTTATAAAAGTAATTTAATAAACTAATATTAGAAGTTTTCATCTGGTTGTCTGCATCCAGTGGTGGCGCAGTGGTTAGAAAGCAGTATTGCAGGCTAATTCTGCCGACTGTCAGTAGTTCAATCCTGACCGGCTCAAGATTGACTCAGCTTTCCCTCCTTCCGAGGTGGGTAAATTGAGGCCCCCGATTGTTGGGAGCAGTATGCTGGACTCTGTAAACCGCTTAGAGTGGGCTGTAAAGCATCGTGAAATGGTATATAAGTCTAATTGCTATTGCTATCATGAAGAGACGATTTGGTAAGCATCCATAAGCAATATCTCCCTCTGATTCGATGTTCCTAAAAGTTCGGAATTTTTAGATGTGGGACTTGAAGCCCATATGCAAGCTGGGGAATTGTGGGACTTGAAGCCCATATGCAAGCTGGGGAATTGTGGGACTTGAAGCCCATATGTCTTAAATTTGCCAAAGTTGAGAAATACTGCCCTACTTAGAAAAATGACCAAAAAACCCCATCCAAATTCATCACTGATTTCATTGGGGATAGTAATTACAACTTCTTTTTATGGAAATGAGTTAGATAAGCCCCGAGTCATCTTTTTCTTCTACGAATAGGACCGCAAAGAGATTTGAGACATTTCCTTCCAGTTTGGTTTTTTGTAATGTTTATATCTGAACCGAGACTAGTCTTAGATATAGCCTGCTGAAACAAATCAACTGCAATCTTTAGACAATGAAAAATAGTTTAAATAAATTACCTTTTAAAGAAAGAATAAGCTATGGTTAATTAAAAATTGAAGCAAATGTTTCTAATCTTGTGGTCCCAAAAAGCATATGCTTGTGTGGGTTGCAGCTCATTTCATCAGATGTACAGAGAAGCTAGACTGATGTAAGATTGAAACTGGGTGAGGTGGTGGGAAGTGGGGTAGAATAGATTGCTTAAATCTTAACATAATTTCTTATAATGATAATGACAATATGTCTCCAAATGCAGTCACTGAAAATATCATTATTGGAACGTAATCTTGGTTTGGGATTTAAATCCTGTGAAATATGGAAGGATACTCATATTACTGGGAGTCAGAGATTCAAAGGGGACAATGCTGGAAGACAGATATTTATACAGGAATACGGATGTGGAGAGGAAGAATAACTGCATGCATACCTGTATGTAATTATGGTTGAGTATAGTAAACTAAAGTTATTATTCATCTCATTTTGGGTTTTCAAATTATTTTCAGGGAGTAATTTTGGTTTTTTAAAAAGTGCAAAGGATATTTTTATTGCTTGCAAATTACTGAGTCTTACCAGACTGTAGTAGTTATCTATGAAATAAATAAAAGGCATGAAAATTTACAGCCCCTATCAAATAAGAATATGGTCTTTAAAGGGAACATGTTCTTAATTCCAAATATTAGCAATCCTTAGGTGGACTTGACAATAGTAGAACAAAGGAATGCAAGCAAAAATACAACTATATTTCTTTTTGTATCCAGAACAAAAGAATATACCTCTATACCAGAAGCTTTCTTCTTTACACCGTTGATTAATATTTTCAATCTCTGCCCCAGTGAGTCTTCTTGGATAACTGAGTAGATTCTGGAAATAAAAACCTAAATAAATAATAGTATGAGAACAGCATATTGAGCTACAAAAAATAAAAATATTGAGTGTTTTTTTCCTATGCCAAAACATAAAATTCTTGAATGTGCAGAACATTATGATCTATGATTTAGTTGATCATTTCTTCAGTTGAATATTATTAAAATCTCATAAAACAAGTAAATTTTAAAAAGTTAAAAGTTTGGGAAAAAATAGTTCGATTTAGAGCAGAGGTCTTCCTCTGGAGCTGCATGTGGCTCTTTCATCCCTTTGCTGCAGCTCCCTGTCGCTGGTCGGCTCCACAATTGATAGGCCTTTCAGTTAAGATAGGTAGAGCAGTGTTTTTCAACCACTGTGCCGCGGCACACTAGTGTGCCGTGACATAGTGTAAGGTGTGCCGTGGGAAAAACACTTTATATATAGTCAATATAGGCACAGAGTTAAATTTTTTTAACATTTTCTAATGGTGGTGTGCCTCGTGATTTTTTTCATGAAAAAAGTGTGCCTTTGCACAAAAAAGGTTGAAAAACACTGAGATAGATAATGATGGATGGATGAATGGATGGATGGATGGATGGATGGATGGATTAGGTAGATGATAGATAGATAGACAGACATACATACAGACAGAAAGTCAAGAGTAGGTAGATGATAGATGGATAGATGGATGGATGGATGGATGGATGGATGGATGGAGTAGGTAGATGATAGATAGATAGACAGACATACATACAGACAGAAAGTCAAGAGTAGGTAGATGATAGATGGATAGATGGATGGATGGATGGATGGAGTGGATGGATGGAGTAGATAGATGACTGATAGATAGACAGGCAAACAGACTACATAGACAGACAGAGTAGGTAGATGAT